AGATAGTAGAGCTACTCAGATATTGGGTCTTCTGCATTTTGGAAGGAAGCTTTTGACCTTTGCTTAGAAGTCTTCAAGAAACAGTATTGCAAATGGTGGGTCGAGAAGTGCCTGATCTTTAAATTCATCTTTTTTTTTTTTTTTTTTTTTTTCCAATTGTCAAATCTCTGAGTGTAAAAATCTGGCCCAGAAAAGAAGCCTCTAAGGCCAGAGGTTCAAGTGCAACTGCATGGCTGTTCTCTAGAGCTCTGCACTTGAACAGTGTGCATACATCCATCTGAGTAGCTGCTCAACCATCCACAGTTGAGCTTTCCTGCCACAACACCATGGTAGTGAAGGAAAAGAACAATCGGCTCTCATTCAAAAGAACGGACCACCACTGAGGGCAGGTTATTAGGCATAAACTGCAAGACCAACACAGTAACTCAGAATATATTTAACATTAAGCATGGTGGAGGGTCATATTGACATGGTCTACTCTTCATTCTAAAAGCACTGTTCTTAAACAGAACCGTATCTAGCAATATCATGAAACACTTACTTTATTTTAAACACCTCTCTACATGTTTTGCTGAATTGAAGCTTTACTTCATTATTGCTTCTTAACGGTCTTAAAGAAATATCTCAATTCTCATAAATTATCTTTAGAGCAATTTGTTCCCAATTAGGAATGGAGCCTACCCCATTGACCTAACTAGTTTTTGCACTAAACTAACTATGCATCATAAATTTAAACACAAATCTTACAAATATGAAATGTTCCCCACCCCCGAGAGCTCTTTGGCTTTCTCACATGCTCTTCTAGGAAATATCTATGCAAACTTTTAAAGAAAAGGACAATGGTGGCAGACGTGCAGATTAGGACATTGGGATTTGATTTTACAACATGAATGAGAAGCAACTTCACTGGATTCAGAATAAGCTAGCTTATTAAATGTAAAGAGGAATTCAGCTCTTTTGCATCCAGACCAAACTCAAAACCAGTACAAATTCAGAGCCAACAAGCAATTTATTTTTAAAGTGCTCAGCAACAAAAAGCCCCAATTGCAACACTTAGACAATAATACTAGCACATCCAATGCAACATACATATTGCATTTGTAAACTCAGCTACTATTTTTGATATCTGAGGGGCGAGTTCTTTGGATAACATTTTCTTCTCTCTGAATGACTGTTCATTCTCAGTGACACAAGTTTCAGTGTGCATCTCATTATACACAGAAATCATCCACCAGACTGAACTACACTATTCTTCACAGAGAGGCACTTATTGCTACAGTGTATCAAAGCCTCACTTATAACTTTTTGGATCTTTTAATTACTATTTTTCTCCATTTTTGACTGGATGCAGGAAAGTATCTGCATGTATAAAACCATGTGAAAACAGAGGACACAGGTCTTGACTAAGTGAAACTACTGGTTTACTCCAAAATAAATCCAATAAAAGCATAATGGCATACAAAAAAATTGATTGTTTTCATTAGCTTAACAGCTTTGTCAATACCAGTATTGCCTTGTTTTGAATAAAATGTGCCATTTTCATGGATCTTAGTTCCAGTAAAATGAGATTTTAGTGGAAATATTAATGGTGGCCAGGAAACCAGGCTGTGTGTTTCTATATGTATGGATTGATTTTCCTAACACATATCACTTGCACCATGAATCGGGATATTGAAGGTGCCGTTAGAATGTAGTTGGGCTCACAGCTCTGTCTCAGATTAGAGTCTTAAGGGCAAAATGTCACCTAGCAATTTGCCCAATCTGTTTAAGTAGTTCCCAGATTCTTGCTCCTAAGAGCCCATAGTTTTAAAATTTGGTAGCTGAATTTAATTCACTGTTATTCATCTTCAAAATTATTATTCTATGTTTAAGATGAGCAAGAACTTTGAATCTTTAGCAGTGTGGGTTCATTTCAAAAGGATGTAATTTTCTTAGGTTTAAGAATGATACAGCAATAATTCTGTGTGCAATTCCAAAAAGCAAACTTACTTTTCAATCTCAGGAGCACCTCTCACTTGAAAAGCTAGCAGTCCTTCATAAAAATTATAATTAACTTCCTAACATAACACAGAGATTTAGTTTTACTAATGAAGAAATCAAGGCATCGGAAGTAGCACTTTCAAAAAGTTCCAAGTGACCCAGGATTTTAAATCGTGCTTTCAAAAGAAAAGGTAGACATCCATCAGCTTAAAACCCATTGTCTGTAGGGAGTTTGAGTCACTTCTGAAAATCATCTGTGCAATTTTTTTTTCCTTAAAATGTTATAAAAACCAGATAATTCATAAATTCATCACTGCTCAAATTCCTGATACATAGTTCCCAGCTGCAAGCACTTTTCCATTCTATCACAATATTTTGCTGATTAACTCTCACCCACTGACCTTAACAAACAAAACTTACTTTGCTGACAGTATGTATAACCGCTTTTACAAAGTTACAGAATAACTTGTGTTCATGCACTCCTTGCAAGTAGACAGTGAAAAAAGCACTATGAACTGTGTGAACTGTTTCTACTTTTCCAAAAACATGACCTAGATAGGGCCTAGTTAAATGCCTCACATAAACTATACCATCTCCATCAGGCTTTTCACATTTCCCCTTGTGTGCAAGAGAAGCTACAGAGCTTTCCTCATATGAATACCAGGGCTAATATTGCCTTCTAGAGAAAATATAACAGCAAGTCTTGACCATTTGAAGCCAGGCAACAAAATCTCATTGTAACGTTAAGAATCCTTTTGTTAATTCTGGTGGTCTGACAGACCTCTTGCTCCCCAAATTGCATTTAGTTGCAGTATATTCTTCCCCACAGTATTAGCTGAATGCAGCGTCTCCTCATTTTTCTAAGCTACTTTGCAGTGCTATAATATGATGTTCATCAGACATCTGAGAGGAAGGCAAAGCTGTCTCTGTGTGCCACCTTATAAATGATACGATTGCATGAAAAACAAGACAAAGTGGAAAACGATCTTCAGTATAGTTAGCCAGGGATTCTTGGCGGAGTTCCTACCTCTTCAGTCCAGGGTACATTACCAAGATTTTAGTGCAACTTCAGAGACACTGGCTGCTTTTTAAGGAGAAAGTGAATAGCAAGAGAAACAGGACAAATAAAAGGGCAGGCTGTGGGGTTGGAAGCACAGGAGGAAAATTGCTTGGTCTGTATAAACAGTGAAAGCTTCAGAAGTTGGCTGATCAATGAACAAGCAAACTTCTTACTAAAAGCCCAAAAATAACCTTGGTAAAGAAACATGCAGACAGGCTGTGCATTTTCTTTTAAAAAAAAGGTTGTGCTGTAATCAGAACAGGCTCAGCAAAGAAAAATCCCCCAGGAGACAAGGCTGGAGCAAAGCCTGCAGGAATGTGCTCAGGGGAAAGAGCTGACCTTCAGCTACCAGCCCAGCCTGGAGGACTCACTGCCAGGGTGTTTCTAGTCTCCTTCCTCCTACCAGAGTTCTGGTCCGTTCTCCTTTCCTTTCTCCCAAAGCCTTGGCTGCACAACCCAAAGGGGAATGAAGCTCTGGCCAAATACCCAAAGAATTTCCTTGTGCAGATAATGCAGTGCAGTAATTTAGGAATTCGCTGTGATATTAAGTTACATTAGCAGTGATATTAGTAATGTATGTCTGAAGGCAGACAAATCTCAAATGTCACACAGTCTTCCGTGAGCCATATCTATGTCAGAGACCTTTTCAGTTTAGAAAGAATTTACGTTTTTAACAAGTACAAATACTTGGAAAGTGTTATGCTATTAACATCTACAGTGAGAACAACTAGTTTAGGCTAAATTTAAAATAGGGATAAAGGTCTTTTTAAAAGGTGCAAAGTCCTTATTGATGCACGTTTTAGTTTTAGTGAATATGACAGCAGTTTATCACAGGAGAGACATGGATAAAAATAGAGAGGACAAATCCAGCTGTGGAAACAATAATATTGTTTAACAAAAGTATAGATAATTTACATAACGAATCATGTGAGGATCTTTTTGTCTGTACTCACAAGAAACCTGCCAGGATGATGACAGGTTTCATGCTGTCATCATGCTTTGATTCTCTTCTCAAAAGTTCTTTTCTTTTCCTTATCCAGCCTTGTCAGATCTAGAAGATCTCCTTATCTGACAGCGCAAACGGAAAAGATCGGGCATGACACTCTGCAGTCTTAAAAGCCACCGTTCCAAAATGCCAGACAGGGATGAGATATGTCTGAGGGGAAACTGAATATCCTGAGCCACATATATAGTGGATGTTTACCTGTCTCACTTGTACGTAGTTTTTGAAACATGTGACAATGCTATCTTTCATCACTGAACAGGCAGCATATTAATAAAAGGAAAATCCACCTTGTATTTGGTCAAACTGTATGCAGTTTGATGGGAACTTGCTTAGCACCAGTCCTAGGCATGAACATGAGCAATATCCTCTAAATACAGTTTACTGACTCAAAGACTGTCTCTTGAGGAGTTTTAAGGCTTTTAAGCAAATTTTCATACCCATATGACATTCAAATGATTTTTGATCATACCTAGGAATGGCAGTAATACACAACCACCAATCTATTCTCCTCAGCTTTTAATTGTCATTCTAGACAGTCAGAAGAAATGGCTGAAGTGCAAGACCACCTGTTTTACTGTCTGCTACTGTTTTTTCTATGCTGACAGGCTCAACATTGCTTCAGCCCATCACTGCTTGGGTCTGACAAAGGTCACTGAGAAGCAACAAATTTGGCAGGAAATGGATATTATCTCTGAGGGTCAGAATCAAAGTACATTAATTTTATTGAGTTCTATTAATGTTTCTGTAAAAGCAGTGCTTTCTTATTGCCATTTCTGTGAAAGCAAAGGATTTGCACGTGACCTGAACTGATTCTGAAGATTTTTCCAGATTACTCCTGACCACCTGGGCCTAAAAGATCTATCATAGCACTAAAACAAGCAGAAAGAGACAAGTTACTCTCTGTTCTTCACCATTGCTCCTAAAGAATGTACTATTTGACTCAGTCTTAAACTCAGAGCAAGAAGTCCCTTTAGACTTTTGAATGAAAGTCTGCAGTAAAAAAGCTCCATCCACAAAGAAGTTATTTCATCTCTCATATAGCTGTCAAACACTGTCGCACTAGAAGAAAGATTAGTGCCCTGTTTGGGACAGAATATATCTATTCAAAGGGAAATTCCTTCAGTTATTATCCTTCTACCAAGTAGTTCATCTTCACTAGCCATTAAGGTCCATCTTTTGCATCAGACCTTGCCTGATACCTGTGTTCCAAGCAGCATCTCATTTCACAAGGGTTTATGCAGTAATATATGTTATGATTAAAGGTACTAAAGTCCAGCCTTTTGTGTCACTACCTGGCAGCATTAGTGAGCTGCTCAAACTACGGGACATGAGGTTCCACTCAATCCCTCACCCACTTTTAAATAGAATTAGCCAGAAAAAAATCTGTTTTTCCTTTATCCTTTTTGTGGGTCATTTGATGAAAAACTCTTCAGGACATGCGTTAACTCCTAGCCGGAGTCTGACTCAGGACCCTGCGTAACAGTGGTCTCATTTTACCTAGGGCAATCCTATTCACAACAGCAATACTAAACAAACACTATCGGTAATAATTTCTTGTTGACTAAGAAAAAAGGAGTGAGAAAGGAAGAAAAGATGAACACACTTAAATACGTAACTGAAATTGCTGGAATTTGTGCTCTAGCCCTTCATATTTTTAAGAACACTGCCATCTACTGAGGGTCTGAGAGGCATTCTCTCTCACAGAGCTCAGCCCTAAAGCCAACTCCAATAGTTTCTTGATGACGCTCTCTCTCATCCAATTTACTGTTCTACTTGTTTTTCAGAAATTAATTACTGTAATTAACAAAATTTCACTAGCTGATGGCTTGGTTCCGCTACATACAGTTGGGATGTGCCAGCAGTTAGTTGCACTCCCACCTTCCATAGCTCTGGATGAATAATCTGGTTTTATTTCAATCCCTACATATGTATTTTAACTGTATTCAAGTATTTTAGACCAGATAGCAGATACAATATAGGCAATATGCTTGTTCAGAGTGGGTGTGTGTATGGAAGTTTTGACAAAGCAAAGCAGATTCTAAGCTGCATTGAAAGTTTATGGACCATTTAGTCTGGCCTAAAGAGCCAGACTGTTCTGGTTGCTAGGTCCATTAGCAATATTTTAAACACTTTTCAAGGGACTTCTACACTTGTGCCTTTGCAGTAAGTATTCTGGGACCAAAACCCATGCACTGCGTCAGACAGGTATAGAAACACTTAGTCAAACTGATAGCCAAGAGCCTTTGTTGTTCTTGTATCTGTTGACTCAGTGAAATTTGCGCTGTTCCTCCCTCCAGTGTTCTAGGTAAATTTTAGTACTTCCACATCTGCAAAGAGTAAGCAATTCTTGGAAATGAAGCTACAGAAAAGTAGCAGACACTGTTTAGACGGCACTTTGCTATGTTCAGACTCACCTGAGAGTGTCCCTCTTTGTACAGCTTTGGCAGCAACCTCACCATAACACAGACAGCACCTGGATGTACAATGGCGCAGTCTCCCATTTCCCACCTGCAGGAAAAAGACGCATAAGACTTATCATCATAATTATTATTAACAGCAGCAAAGAGGGTCCAGCAATGTTCCAGCAGAGTAAAGCATTAAATACTCCTAGCAGTAACCAGGCCTAGCATTTGGAACCAAGCAAACAATACAGATGACCTGGAACAGCTGGAAACCTCCTTGGAGTAACAAAGACAGGACATAACCTGCTCATGAGCTCACATCTCAGGGACCTGTACATTCAAAGATGTGCAGCACCCTCTTTAGACAAACTTTGCCTTTGAAGGTACTTGCAGTACAGAGAACAGACAACCAGAGGGATCTCTCTGATGCATCAGCCCAGAACTACTGTTATATTTTCTATTTTCAAGCAGTCTGTAACTTTGAACAGACAATAACTTCAGTACTTTCAAACCATAATAGCAATAAGCAAAGATGAGACGGTCTTGATGAAATCAGTGTGCCACCCTTCCCTTCCAACACCAGAATCTGCCTAAACTAGTAAAAGAAAGTTAAATATCTGTGCTTCCCCACCAGTTTTAATTTTTGCCACATATCACCTTTGTACATTCAGGCACAGGAAGGAACTGAGGCATCAGAGTGACCACAGAGAAGATCTGCTTATGCCATGATGCAGGCTAGAGGTCAGATACATCTCAAAGATGAAGCCACATCACAGTAGTAACCTTTGTTTAGACACTGCAGGCTCATCATGTTCAGAGTATCATCAGCATTTCTGGGTGCACCTCCGAACCAGAGTTGTGATGTGCACAGTCAGAAACATCTGTCCCAAATAGATCTCGTGAGAAAAGAAAAGGCAACATCTAACAGCAGTAATTAGACTGAAAAAATAAGCACAATATGCTTTATGGACTGTATAAAACAAAGGGTACAAGTAAAAGAGTGAGCATAAAAAAAGCTTTTACGAGGTACCTAAAGGAGGGTAAAAAGGCTGTAATTAACGTTAGCCACTTCCAAAAAGGCTCATCTGATACATCAGAGCAGCAAGTAATGTGTAGCACACTGCCACACAGTGACAAATAATTCTTACTGCACCCTCAAGAAAGATACTTTCAAAGAAATTGCTCATTTGCAATATTTTCTGTGTAATGAATCAAAATCAGATCTGGTATAAATACTTACTGCCGCAGTGGCTCCAGTGTGGACACATACATCTGTACTTGACATGAATGTGGGTGAGTTTTTAAATGTCAAACAAGAAAAAAGTACACACTGAAAATACTCTCTTCTCCCATCTCCCCCAAAAAACCCTAACCACCTTTAATGAGAAAAATCCAGGCCCACTAGAATCGATAGGATCAAAATTTCAGCCTGTTTTCCTGCTGCGGCTGCGCTCTCCAGAGCAAGTTCATCTTTAGCCTAAGCCACTGTATTCAAGTGGCAATCCCAAACTTTCAATTTAATTCAAACTTCCATCTCTAGCACTGTAAAAATACATTGCCAGGCAGTGTGTCCAGTTCTCCTAACACACAGCAGTCTTCCTAAAGACTTAGGCACTGAAGAAATATGGTTACCTCCGAACCTCAAAATTTTTCTTTCATATAGAGATTTTTTTTTATAACCCATATGATATGTAATAAAGGTAAAATGTGAACTAACAAAATGTGAATATCAGAAGACAATAATAGAAAGTGATCCTTCAAAAAATAAATAAAATCATGGAATGGTTAAGACATTGCCATAACCGTAAGGAGACATCTTCTTATTTTTGAGCACTGCCTGGCAGGTTTAGCACTCTCCAGGGCTGTTAAGAAGGAAGAACAAAGAAGGAATATCCAGAGTCCCTGACCAGCATCAAACTACACCTCAACTTCCCTGCCAGCACTGCACACTCACTCCCCTCTAAGAATATTGTATAAGCCTTATCTCCAGCCTTCTCTGTCGTTTTCCAAGAGGCCCTCATTTTCTGGCTTGTCTTAGTAAAAAAGCTGTCTCCATGTACCAACTCCTCACTCCTGCAAATACCCCATCACTTGCACTCCTGCCTCAGGGCTATCCAGTCAGCCCCATGATTCCACTCCATCTACTCCACCAATATCATGATGTGAGTCGCAAATTTGCCCTGCACTGGCTGCTACTTAAAAATAAGACAAATAAGAGGGTTTGGGGACAAAATGAGATGCCGCAGAGAACTTGAAGAGCCATTAGCGCAGTGAGTCTGTGGTAACAGCAGCTGCAGCAGCCATTCTGCTAGGGTGGGCACAAAGAGGGGTTTCCCTCCCAAAGAGAGATCAGCCTCAGTTAACACAGCTTGCAGCAAGCTATCTCTAATTACCAGGAGCAAAAGGAAAAACAGAGACCCCATCTGTCACAGAAGGTGTTTCAAACATTAATGCAGGAGCAGGAACACAGAGGGTTCTTTTTCAGATGGGAATGAAAGTGTCAATTCTGGGAATGAAAGTGTCGATTCCCCTGTGGTCCAGCAGCTTGCAGCATCATTGACCACAGGACAGTGTAAGAGGCGAGAATATTATCCAGTTAAAACGCTGATTTTCCTGTGTCTCAGTCACAGGCTCCTGTAGGATCATCTTCCTTCCCTCTCTTCGGGGATGTTAAATACATGTTACAGGATTGGGCATCACAGGCCACTGACTGCACTCAAGTTCCTCCTTTCAAGCTGCATAGCCCCAGGCTGAAGCCTCCTTCAGGAGGAAGTGTGAGCGTGGAGTACAGCTAAGAGGAAGCCACATTAGGGGAACCACAGGCTTGCAGGAATCCTGGGAACTTGATTTTTTATTTTCAGAAAAATTACTGCTGGAAAAGGATACAGGCTGTGTGGCCTGAAGATTGACAGCTTGCCAATACATGTTCCTCTGCTGTGTTTGCATACACTTGTCCTGGACACTTTCCAGCTACCTCTAGCTAATCCGGCTTCCTTTTGTGCCTTCACATCCCAGAACCAAAGCCAAACTGTCCCAAACCAGACACTGTGAACTGAATGGATCCCAATTTACATGATTAATTTCTCCACAAGTGGTATTCATTCAGTTACTGCACAGCCTCACAGCTCAGCAGGCAAAACAACACAAGGACCTAGGGAAGCCTTGCTTTATGTTTCAGATGTAGTAACTTGAGAAAGACAAGCAGAAGACAGAGCCATACCCTTCCCAGCATTGCCACTAATCTACTCTTTCTCCCTTATCTTCCCTGAGCCTCCCTTATACACACACTTACGCTACAGGCTATGGACTTCTCACAACCACCACCATCCATAAGCTCTCTGCACACTGACCCACGTTCTCCCCAATGGGGCTAGGAGGATCTACTTTGAACAGAGTATTCATTCTTCCTGAGCCACCTAGTCCTCTCCCCAGCACTGAGTATCTAACCAGAAGCTTCCAGTGTAATTCGAAAAGTGGTGATAGGGAGCAAACATCTCCATGACTATTTTAAAATCAGTTGCACAAGGAGAAAAGAAATCTACCGCAGGTTTTTCTAGTTGCTTCAAACAAGTACAAATACAACCAAAAATACTTACTCAGCCTGCCTCAGTAGTCAGGGAACAAAAGTTCTGCTGACTTCAGTGACTGCTAGCTACGAGTGGCAGACCTAATGACTTGGTCTTTAAACATGGAAGATGACTGTGGAATAACCTACAATAAAGGGCTGAAGGAATCTCACAGTTATAAACTTAGCCTTTTTAAGCATAACTCCAACGAGAAACTTTTTTGAGAAAAAGACTGAGAGATCCAAGATAAAGCTACAGACACACGAAGGGGCAGAAGATCTCACAAGTTACGAAATGCAAGTTATTCAGAACTGATTCACAGCTGACAGCTACATTGATTTCTGGTGTAGTCTTTCCTTCCTGCAAGTGATATACATTTTGATATAATCCTTCATTAAATGAGGCAGGCAGCATTACTATTCCTTTTGCAATTTTCTCTATTTCAGCTGTATGAGTAAATGAATGAAAGTGTCTTTGTCTGTACACATGTGCCTGGACACACATGCATTTAAAATAACTTAAAATAGTTTTTATTTTTAATGTATCAGGTGACTGGAAACAGCTTTCCACATAATTGAAAGAGCCAAAATTGATCAGGGAAGATTCAAGCAAAGACTAAACACAAGCTTCAAGTCCCAGCAACCCTTTCCTTAGAGCCTAGTCCTGCTTCCACATTGCATGTGTCAGAACCTTCAGCACAAACTTTGCAACTCTCGGGGTTGTGTGTCCCACTGCTCCACTGAACACTTATGCCCCAATGTTTACCATCATTTACCTTTCAAAAAGAGGTGATTTCATCTGTCTGGAGGCCTGGGAGTTGGGACTGTGACACTGATTTGTTTGTTCTAGGCAGGTTACGTCACACCTTACCTCAGTTTATTACCATATAAAATGCAGATACCAGTCTTACTATAATATTTCCTGTAGTAAATAAAGACTTACTTCTCTTCAGGATTTCCCCACAGCCTATAGGCAGAGGCAGGTAGTTTGTTGCCTGGTCTTTTGAAAGCAACAGGATACTCTTCTTGAGCTTGGGGTCCCTCCTGATCATCTCTTGATACCTCCCCCATCTCTGGCTTTCTCTCCTTGAAGTAGCTCTCCAGATGGAGGGTTCCTTTGATCATGTGATCAAGAAAATTCAGAATCCATATGCAGTTCTTTAGCCACATTGGAAAAGGTTCTGAAGAGCAGAAAGCTGCATCCAAGAATTCTGCAAATGTCCTTGTCTTCTCAAGGCTCAAAGGGATTTGCCGTTCTCCTTGTGTCCAGAAGCATCCAAGTGACCCAAGATCCTCTGCCATCTTTTCAAAGAGACCATGCCTCTGGAAGAAGTTGCTGTTGGCAGGGTCCAGGTGCAGGGCTGCTGTTATCCCCTGAAGCGTGTAGAAAACAAGCTCCAATATGCAATTTTGTCCAACTGCTGTCCACAGTCCAGATGGAGGGTCCTGCAATGCACCTTCCATGTCTGAGAGAAGGGACAGGAGTCCATTGAATCCACTGCAGGTTCTGAAAGCTGAATGGCTCTTGGGACTCTCCAGTATCCTCAGGAGTGACTACAAACATTGGGAAGAAAAGAGACAAGAGAAGCACTTAAACCAAGAGACAAAGAAGCTTTAGAATATTTTAAAATTCCAAGTTTGTACCAAAATTCTTTCACTGAATTTCACTCTCTAAAGAAAAAAAAAAGAAGTTGGTCAAAGTAAAGGTCACCACTGCACAACTTTTCTCCTCCTCCCTTCCCCCATATACCCAATGAGTCAAACAACTAAGATTTGAATGCACCCTTAGGAACAACCCATGGAGTCAGCCTGACAAGTAGGGAATAGTGCTCACAGGAATAAGCAAAGAAATCAAGTTTTCTGCATTACATATCCTAGTCAGTTTGGCCAGAGGTAGTTTCAGACCTTTGGCTATTCTTTCATCAGTCTTCTCAGACTCTCTCAAGAAATCTGCCTTTGTCTTAAATAAATGAAAGCAGACATTCAACTGTAAATAACCTCATACAGAAACTGAGAAGAAGGCGCAGCTCTCTAAAGGCAAGTCTTTCTACAGCCCTGAATACACATGGGGAGCCACACTAGACTTTTGCTCAGATGACTGAGCAGACCCTTTCCAAAAAGCAGTGACACAGGATGGCCCAAGGAATACTGCAAGCAGTAGGCTCTCCTCATTAAGAAAGGCAATAATAGTTCCCTTTCTCAGCAGAGTTATTTTTAAAGTTTGCACAACACTTTGGAGGAAAAAAAACCATAAAAAGTCAGATCCCAAGATAACGAAGTCATTAGATTTTATGTAACTTCAGTGGGCTTAAAGCAGGTTATAAGTGAATGCCACTTGACAATATTACACATGCACAAAACCCAACCTATACTACTTGTAAATTTTGAATGCTATGATCTTGCCATTTTAAAACAAATCTAGAAAAGTTATTAAGAGTTCTAGTGGTGGAAGTACAATTAGTGAGAAAAAAGAGCTTGCAAGGAAACAGTCTACTGTATTTGAATGTAATCCAACCCAGGTTTTTGGGATGTTGCACAATTCATTTTGTAAATATGATGTTCCTTCAGGCACCAGGGACCTTTCAGATTTGAGACTGTACCTTTTCACATTGGAAAGGGCTAATTTTACATATAAAGTTTCCCAACAGATATCCAGTGAAAAAGGTTCACTTCACAACCTGCTGAAGAGGAACAGTTTCTAACATAAATATATCTCCCTGTTACAGGATCTAGGACTTGTGAGAAAGGGTTACCAGAACTGGAGGGGGAGGGGGAACTCTATTACTGTCATTCAATTTTGTATGATAATGTATCAAACCAGGCAGAGACTTCTGAACAGGGAGTAAATTTAATAACTCAGAGTTGAAGTTATCAGGATGGCTTTAACACATTTCAGAGAAGGTCAACAGTAACCACATTTCCTCCAGCTCTAACTCAGTTAGAATTTAATCGCCTATGAGTTGCTATTCCTCTGTCTTGAATCTATAAAACTGATGTCTGCTGGAAACCCCCTAACTCAGTTAACGTTAACAGAATTTATTTCACATTCCATTATTTGTTATTCCTCATAATTGCCCACGTGCCACGCTGGAATACGGCAGTGCTAATTGCATTTGGGCCTAGGCTTTAACAGCTAAATATATATTAGCAGATCAATCTGAATTTGTGTGTAACACAATCACAGTCCCAATGGATGTAGATAATAAATTCATTTGCTTACATTATGCTTTAATACAGTTATCATTTGTCAAAATTAGACACCGAAGCTGCATTTATTTTCATATCAGTTTGGACACCATACTCAACTTTTCCACAAATATTGCTAAAGTTTACTCTTTCAAAACAAAGCTATAAACTTTGTCACATTTTTGGTTTTTTAAAGTAACATGGTTCTTTTATCACAGAAGCAGCTGCTATATTGTGCTGAAAGGTGAATTCAGTTCACGCTTGGTAGAGAAGGTAGAATGAAACTTTAAATCAGTGCTTACAACACTGCTGCTTTTCAAATTGATGCCTGTGATCTAAACCAAAATAAAGCACACATTCTTTCCCCTGCTTCATTGCTTATGGATCAGACTCTCTATAAACACAATAGAGGCTATGAATAGTTCTAATTTCTTCCTCCAAACATTCATAAGACTCCTTTTTCCATCATCTCACATCTCTTTTTCCATGACACCAGTGTATGCGAGAGATGACAAAATTAAGGACAGCAAAGTTTCAACCTTGGAAACTTATCAGAATCAAGGTGTTCATCTCATGCCTACCCTGCCCCTTCCAATCTTACTCCTTTACCTCTTGTCACATCCTCCCTCCACATCTCCTCCACTTTTATTCACATTTGTTTCTCCTTTCTCTGTCACGTTACATAGAACTGCTCATGCAACTGTGCCCTTTGCCATTTCCATTTCTCCGTCCTGCATTACTATTTAAGTCTTCAAAATACTTCACAATCTGATACTGAGTGAAGGTGTTGACCCACACACACATCGCTAAAAATCAAAGCGCCCAATTTACCAGGATCGAAAACTAGCGCATGGCTCTTTTTTCTTCTGCACTTACCTTCTTGGAAAAAACACAGTGCTAGGGATAAGATTTGCCACAAGCCAAGCACTTTCCAAGAAAACAACCACCAAGTGGGAAGCCACATTAATTACCTTCAGCAGATCTAGTTTCAGATGTAGCTCCCCTTGAGTAGAAGAACAGAGGGCCCCAATAATAATGCTCATATATTCTTCATAGTTGATGACCGATAGCTGCTCCAAGATGCTGAGAGTAGCACTCCTGTAGCACTCATCATCCAAAAATATCTTGATATATGGCACCATTCCATAATCCTTCAGAACAACTGGGGACAAATATGGTATCATTTGTTACTTAAACTATCCTTTACTTGTAGTTTTCACAGGCAGATTTTCAGTGTTGGTGTGAAGTGCCGCATTTCTACAAATACAGCAGGAGAGGCAAGAAGAGCTGGTTAAGCTACAGATGACACAAACTGAATGGCACAAGAACAACTAGGGATAAAATGACTGGATGACCATGGTTTCTAATCATCAGAGATTACAGCTTCCCAATACAATAATGAATGAAAAGATGCCTTATTAGTTTTCAGCTTAAACATCTCTTCAGTTTATGAAGGCGACTGTTTGATAGTTTGTGACAATATATTTGCATTGTGTAAGATGCTGCAAACATGATGATTCTAGGATTCAAAAGTGAATTAAGTGAGTGGATTCCAGTATTCAGAAGAGTTCGCGTCTGTATTACTATGTTCCACAAGATTCCCCACACATGCACCTCTTAGGTATGCCAATACTAAATGTATGAATGTTACTCAGCATACGTCTGATCCCATCAAGATTTCAAAAAACAGATACCATGGAAGAAAATCTGGATGAACAAACAATACACAAAACTCACACACACAGTTTTGTTTTCCACAAGGTAAGTTTGTGTTTTCTATGTAAACACTTCAGGAGTATCCACATGGATGAGGGAAGCAGGGTGACTACTGGGATAAGGCTCATTATGCAGGATGAGAATATCTTTGCCACATTTCTTCCTGGTGTAATACTGTTATCCCTACACTTCTAGATTTTGTCCTCCACTTCTCACTGAAGCACAAAAGTCGGAAAATTTGTTGGTGCTCCTTAAGAGGCATCATGGCCACTTACCACTAAATTTCACAGAGGCAATGCAGTCATACGTCATTTCTTACCAGTGTTCCTCACAGACCCCACTGTAAGGGCAGCCACCATCTTCAGCATCACAGCATTTAATTCCTTCTCAGTGCCTTCTTCCAGGCCAGGCGGATGGGTTCCAGCTGTCAGTATATTAAAATTCATAATACAATTTATACAAGACATGGTTAACTGTAGATAAAATATATTAAACCAAAAAGGAAAAGCAGTTCTCCAGCAAATTCTAGTTTTCTCTTAAATATTACTTACAGGCTACTTGAACCCTAAAATGAGCAACAAAATACAGACATGGCATTGTCTAGTCATCAGGGTCTAGTCTGGGTTTGGGAAACACAGGTCTGATTCTATGCTCTGCAGTCCAGCTCTCCTGCATAACTATAGGCAATACTGATAACAGTGGTGTTTCCACTTCCCAACTGATGTAGAGTTACCTGTTTAGTGATACCTGGTAGGAACACACACAAATAAAAGAACATTACAGATTATGAGCTATGAAGCACTAAAATATTCTAGCAACAGGGAGTAAATACCTAAACTAAAAGTGAAGAGCAGAAACCCCCTGCATGTTCAAAGGCAAACATTTCCAGGATCAGACAGTGTAAGGTAGGTTATTTTTAGATCTAAAAGTCTTGAAGTTTGCAGGCTAAATTTTTGGAAACCAAAAGAGGGGAGTAGTGATCACTTCACACAGTGTCTTCCCACCTGTCCCTCTTCATCTGTGTGTCTAAATTTACAAATTACATAGCCATTCAATCACTCCTTCTGTAAAATTTAGATCACCAAGTGATCTAAAGCAGTGAAATTAATGCAAAGACAGAAGAAAGCCCCTATGCTTGCTTTATGAGAAAGCTCGTAACCAGAAGGTAAGTTTTCAAGAACCTTGGTATTCATCTTGACAACCCTTATCTAAGTACTCTTGTACAAAACTCTAGTTCTCTGATATCAAGAACGCAAATCTAAGTGTCCTTGCAGGTAATGGATGTCTGCACTTTGGAACTTCTGTTGCAATTCACATTCCTTCTGTTGCTTGGAATAAATGTGTATAAATAATTCAATTGTGCTTGCTGCATCAGAAGCTATACCTAGTACTTTGGGTCCCTCCTCCTTTACTAAATGACTATTGCACTGAAATTTAAAGACATTTCCCAATTCATACAACACAGAAAATGTTCATCATGCATTTTTCTTTCAAAACTTTTCTTATAAACTTTTAAATATGTGAGTCTGTCCCCTAAGTCAGCTGTACCCCACAGTTACCACACCAGGACTATTACCTTCCTGTTTTCATCATAGGAGATAACTATATCAGATGACAATGGATGGTAGTAATTGCGGGTAATACATGGCCAAAATTCAAGAAACTGCTTTCCATCATCAGTCCTCAGGATTAAGTGTTTCAGAGGAACTAAGCACTGTGGAAAACTCTTTCTTCCTCTACTCTCAAGCTGGCATTCTAGAGAACCCCAAATTGAGACCTGTTTAAAAGTGTGGGCTGAATGGTACTGTCCAGAATAATTCATCATACACTGGTGAAGAATAGCCCAGAACTGTTCAGGCTAGTGAACAGAATGATAAACAGCTAAGATTTCAGAGAGGACCCAGCTTAGTATGTCATAAACTTAGGCCAGTTGGTTTGCAGACAAAATCTAGCCACTCAGTAAAGAAAATTTATAAATTGACTGTAGAAAGAGATTCATTTATTCCTATTGATCTGCCTACTTCAACAGTCTTTGTGAACAACACTAAGTTGTACCTGACTTCCTCAGGATCTTGGCTTGCTTCCTCAAAAGTGCCAGCAGTAGGCCTAAGAGCCCAGAGTCACGGAATATGTCACTGAATAACAGGTCCTTCCTGGTCATGCTGAGAAGGCACCGGAGAGCTGTCAAGGTGCAGAATGGCACTACGTTTTCCTTTATCAAATACTGAACCTTCTTCAAAATTTCATGGGGGACATAGGACAGGTCTAGCACTATGGACTCCACAAGTCTGAAGAACTGGACTTGAACTGGGTGTGGTTTGAAATGGATAATGTCAGTAAACTGGTTGATAGGTTGTAGTGTCCATTCCAGAAGAAAGAAGTTCACTGTGTCCCAGGCCCATATGGTACCAATTGCTGCCAAGATTCTTCCGCATAGGTGCTGATCATTACTTTTCTGGAAAATGGACTGCAACACCTGAAAAGCCTGGAGGTTTTTCACTGTCATTCCTGTGGGATAAAACCAGGTGAGATCATTTTTACATCAATGTTATTTAAGACTGCAAGCACCATAACTATGAAGTTAAATCATGACTGAGAGTGGAAATAGGAGCTGCAGACACGAGGGATGTGATTGGGAGGCATGTTCTCAACCTTGGATGAGACTCTACAGCTGACATGGTCAGTTCAGTTTGATGCAGGTAGTATTCAGGCTCCTGCAGTGTTAGGCACATAGATCAGAAGATGCCATCTCATACTCCTTCCTCCATCTTAAGACACGTAATGAATACAGCTTCATTTTTCTATGACTTGCCTACATAGCCACATATAGATATATACACTGTACCTGAAGACCGTGTCTGTTCAAAATCAAAGTGTGGTAATTGCGGATGTACAATATTGCCAGAAACTTTCAGTTCAGTTTTTCCACAGGTTGTAAGGCAAGTCAGCATGTCCAAGATCTCATCCAGATAGGGGTCTCCTTCATTTTGCTGCAACCCCTCACATCTAGGAACAAAACATGGGACAGTCATATGTTCATGCCTTAGTAATACAAACATTTTTGATGTATCACCATGTACTGAGCACACATGAGCTACCCATTTTACTCCCCTCTCCTCCCCAGTCTGTTTTACTGTCTTTTTGACTCATTTCTGTGACTTGTTTAATCATCTTACAAACAGTAACTCCACACCATGGTGGCACATTCTGAATCAGAACAAAACTTACAAACTGAAGAAGAAATCTGAAGTGACACTGTACGAGTCTTCTGAAGAAAAGGAAGATAAATGTTTGAATTTAGTTCAGTTACATGTACTTAAAAAAGTAACTCTCTCCAAAAGAATGCCTATTTTGGGGAGTAAAAATTTAAATTTTGTGAGAGATCAAGAAGTTAAAGCAGACACTTCACATTAAAAGGTAGGCGTATGGTTGGCAAGGTAAGGGACTTGCTAACTGAGATAAATAACAGAAAAATCTCAGCCCCTAGGAAGGGAAAAATATTGTATTGCCTGAGCTTTGTGAATCAGACATGAAGATGGCATGTCTCTCCTACATAAGGAAATAGTTTGAACTATAACCACAGATTTGCCATAGTTTAGACTGAAGTGAGTGTCTGTCAAAGGGCAGAGAGCTGCTTATCATGTCATCCTGCTCTGTACTGCTTAGAGGGGTCAATTCTTAAGGAAGACGGCAGCATCTGGGCATGGGTTAGCAGCGGAGCAATAGACTGATACTGGAAGTTAGGAAAATCTCAGAAGAAAACAAAACGAATATGTTCTGTTTTAATCTAAACAAGAAAAAAAAAAGGGGGAGGGCAGGGCAAATGCTAGTATCCGTTTTGGTGGGAAAAAATGTGATCAGCAAAAGTCTTTTTACCTGGAAAAAAAATAAACTCTAAACATCAGAGAAGAGGAAACCTGGTCACACAAAACATTCAGGGAAGAAGCTCTCTGTCTATCCCTTTCTGCCAGTATATGCTGGGAAGGGAGACTAATCTGAAGCCCTGCGCATCTGTATGCTATTTCTGTCTCTCCAGCCTAGTTACATCAGTTAAAAAGGACAGGGCAGTCATAGCCCTTACTGATAAAGATTGGGTGTTTCTGCCCCTATACGGATAGAATTTTACCAGAAATACACATCGCAACACAGCTTATTTATAAGGGAAAGCTAGACAATCTATGGTAACTAAAGAAAATACTGCCAGAAAAAGACAAAGTTTTTTCCAATTGTAGGTTAATAATTTTGTGCCATCCAAAAATCATCAGAAATCATACTCACCTACGGATATCTTTGGATTCGTGACTTAAATTACAATCCTCTAGATCCAAATTGCAAAATACTCCCCCTCAGTCTAACATACTGGTCATGGGCCAAAGTTCTTGCAAGTGTTGGAGAAGAAGTACAGGAAAAGGCAAAGCCAGAATGGAGACAACAATAGATTGAGAAGATCTGGAAATGCTCTCTTCATTAAAGAAAACCAGAACAAAGCTCCTGAGTGTTTCTGGGGAAGTGGTATAATGTACTGTTTTGACATAGCAAACTCAGAGCCTGGTTAGACAATGCAAGGAGAAAAGGAGAGTAAAAAGACTCTACTTTGTACTTTTGATTAGGATAACTAGTGGGGATTTGTCCTGATATTTTCATATTCATGTCAGTTCTGAAGAACGTAACCATTTCAGATGTAAGTTTGGGTGGGTTTTTTTGTTTGTTTTTGGCACAGAAAGGAGATCAGCTTTCCCTCCCTAGCTGACTGCATTCCTGGATCAAGAGTTCACCTTAACTGAGACAAATGTCTCTAACCTACAACCCCTCTAATACTAATTGATGAACTTTTGTCTTGTGTTCGGTAAGTCCCTATATCCCACCTGTAGACTAACTTGTCCTACCGTTAATTTTTGTTACGGTTTCAGTAGAAGAAGTTATGTACTGTTTCCCTTCCAAAAACAGTAATGAAAGACCCCGATATTGGATCTTTATTACTGGCTTTGCATCCACACAGGATTACCTACATGATTCCTATTTAAAACAGACCACCATGCATTCTGAAAATGAAGTTTTACCATCCTCTAGAAGCCCACAAAAAACATCTCTACTTACCTGAGTAAAATTTTTAGCAGGAGTTGGTAGCCATCATTATTTTCAAACTCTGTTAATAAAGCTGATGATATGGGATAGGAATCTTTCACAAAGCACAAGACAATACTAGCAGCTTCACACACATCACAAGCAGGTAGGGTATCAGCCAGTTTAAAGAGATTCTGAATAGCTATTTTAATGCAGTCCACAGCTGTGGGAAAAATACATAGCAGGTATTTAAGAGTGGACAGTCAAATAAGTTCAAAGTTACTAACAAAAATGGAACAACAAGTTTGAAAAGTTATTTCCCAGTAAAACAGGAGTCAGTTAACTCTTTTTCTAGAAAGAAAAGACAAGAGGATATATGAACACCACACTCAGAGGCTACATGAAGAACATTTCTGTTTTTTGAAGTATGCGTGCATTTCTTTGCTTAACCCCCAGAAGCTGATTGAGTCTCAGGAGTATAAATTTCCAACCCATCCACTCACCAAAATTCATATACAGTGAATCCAGCTGTCTGAGTACAAGGTAAGTGGAGGCTGACATATGTGTCTTGTACTAAGTCAATCACACATTCTGTGCAGAGTTCACAGATTAATTCTTTGCTCAATGAGGCATATGTAATGGCATACACACATCTTGCTCTCAGCAATGAAGCCTAGTTTTCTTGTCTAATCTGATGGCCAGTCCTTCCAGGACAGTTTCAAAATGTCTAAACAGTTCAGTACTCTTAGAACTATTATTCCTCAGTCTTTCAATCTCACTCAGGAAGCTAAATTTTTATTTTAAAAAATAAAAATACCTGTATGCAATTACTCCATGACAAGGAATACTGACAGTAAAGTGTGGATTATAAAACTATTTGTTTTTCCTTCTAAGAAATTGAGACTCATGGCCTTTGTACTTCTTAATAACAAAACAATTGCTTACTCTAATAAAGCCTAGGAAGAAATGAGGTTGTAACAACCAATCATGGTGTTGTCTCAAAAAATACTGTTCCTCTGGCAGTGCCCTCAACATTGTATTTAGAGTGTGCATGAGCCTTAGGCTTACACATAAAGCCACACAACTTAAAAAAAACATAATACACCTTGTCCTTGACTACATTAGTGTGATCAGGTGGGACTGGCTCTTGCCTGTAATTTTATTTTTTGTCTAGAAAAAACTTCAGTTTCCAGATGGCTATCAGTACAAAATAAAGCTCCTGCCCAGAAAGCCAAGAGCCCATGCTTTGTAGTTGACTGACTACCAGAGGATGTAGAGATAAATATCTATCCCAGGGAGACTCTTGTTGAGAATTCATTCTCAGTGGAGCTATGAGGAAAGGAGAAGCCAAATTACTAAATCAAACCTTGTAGGTACACAATGCTGTTTTTGGTCTGAGCCTTTGAAATTGTTCTCAGCACACGGCCTGTAGGTACTTTCCACGAGTGGCTACATTGGTCCCAGAGGGAAGCAGTTGCTATAATTAATGACTGAAGCTTATCAGCTGCCAGAAGTTCCTCTACACCTTGTTCCTCTCTGTACATGTTAAGCATTATCTGAAAAGCAAACAAACATCAGCTACAACAAACAGATCTGGGAGATTGAGAAAAATCCATTGGGGGAGGGATTATAGTTTGATACCAAAGCCATGAGAAAGGATGCAGTGAAATGAACAAGCAAAACTAGCACTGGGATACTATCAATGGATTTTTTCCCCGCTTAAGGTCATGTTGTTTTGTTTAACAAAAAAATAAGAGAGATAGTGGCATCATCTCAGATTGTTTTATACTGCTCCTGATGCTTGTTCAATGGTTTTCAGTCCAAATTTACTCCTTTTTTTGACAGTTTGAATCAATCACCAGCTAAAAGCCTAAATGAACATCTGAGTACTCAGGGCAATGAACTCCCAGAGGTGCGTCTCACCTTAACAAGCATTTCCTGAGTTTGAGTGTCATCCTCACTTGTCTCTCCATCATCACTGGTTTTCTTCAGAGGAAAAGTAAAGAAAAGGTACAGGCACTGCATCAGAGCAGCTGGAAGGCCAGATCCAATGATGTTCCACATAGTTCTCTTAAGTAAGGAAAATAAAAATCAGCCCCTCCAGAAGCTGCCCACAGTTTCCTTGTGTTTCTACACGCTGAGTGTAGTCATGGCAGATGAAAGAGCTACTTGAGCATTTTATCCTTAAATGTGCTCTAGGGCACACAAGTGTGGCAATCATATAGCATGGCTCTACAAATCCACTTGGCAGAAGTAAACACACTGACCGTGTGTTGCCATAGCTGTTCCCAGGACTTCTCACTCCAGCTGAAATCCAGCTTTGATAGAGACACTTACTATGTCCTGCATAAGGAGACCTACAGTTCATAAAGCACACAACCTGGAAACTAGCAGCTAAAATAGCAGGAAGGCCAGGGGCAGACAGTACCCCCTTTATCATTAGTTCACAGGACACCCTGCAGCTATAGAGGCCTGGTATGTTAGAAGCATGAATTGTCCATTCCCTCCTTGACCCAGCATAGCAGCATTTAGCTGTAACGCCTTTGCTTCTGTCACATATTGAATAACTGCACACACACTTCTAAGTATAGCTTTTATAAATACAAGAGACCCTGTTTCTCCACAATGTTTCTCAACGCTTAGTTTCTTCCCATCTTCACTACAGTTGTGTACAACTTACAGAGAAGTCCCAGCGTGCCTGCTTGGCACACAATAATCAAAACAAAGATCAGCAGCAAATTAAACAGAAGAGTGAGGTTGTGATATGAAGTTTTGTGAGTATGTGTGCTACAAAAAATAGCAGTGTCTTAAATCTGTGAAAAACACAAATCTCATTAGGAACTTCATGCTGTGACAAACTATATATAATTTTATAGAGCTCCTTATGACACAGAACATGTCCCCTAGAAGCTGACGGTAAGATTTTATTTTCATGTATCTGAATAAGGATGAGACAAACTGCTCAGCTCAATGTCAGGGATAAACGCACCCCTGATGCCCATCACCAGGCTGTACTGCTGGTGCCAGTCTGCTTTCAGGATGGCTGTACAAGTAGAGTTTGTGAAATGCTTTGAAATGCTTCAAAGTGAGAGGTTATCAGGATGGAAAATCCAACCGCTGCATTACCAGACAGACAGATCCTTACTAGTCATCTTTTTGATATGTAAGCTGGAGTGACAAAGAAAGGTTGAAGAGTAGTGATACAAAATGGAAAAAAAAAAGATAAATCAGAGGAACACTAGAAAAAACAGCCGCCTGATGATCAAAACAAAAAGGGTATCTGAAAGCACAGAGCGCTTACTTCCCTCTTTTAGAAAAGCCCAGACTATAAACCTGGTGTGGTGTGTCCTCTCCCTGACTGTATACCCTGGGCATGCTGAAGCACAAAGCATTGGGGGTAATGCAAACATTATGAGACTTAGGTGTTCCACTGTTGGGGTTGCTACCCAGCTTCCCTGAAATAAAAAGGAAAAAACCAAAACAAGACAAATAAAAAAAAAAAAATCCTTTGTAGTCATTTCTCTTACCAAGTCAGTCTGAGAGAGCAGATACACCGATTTGAGCAGCAAACGGCCATCTTCTGCTTCCCCTTTCTGTTGTAGCAATTGCTCCAACGCCAGACGAGCTTCTTCTGTTACCACAAAAACATTAAACTTTAATTCCTTAATGAAAGATGAAAATGCCGCATTGATCCTTTCCTAACAGATCTGACAAATTTAACAAAGTTACAGTAGCAAGAGTTCACTGAAGTGAATAGGAGGACATAAAAGGATTTTGATCAAGCATCAGGCTCACGTCAGTTCATGTAAACTACACCTTTCAAACTGAGAAGCTTCACTGGGAATACCAGCTCAGTTCATGAAGTCTGCCAGCTGACCAGTGTGAAGAATGTACAACAGCCGTCAGGAAGCCATGTGTGGTTAGCAGTATTTTTCTCATTAAAGAAAGCTCCTCAGAATAGTGTGTAGCCTACTGTTTTACTGCATAGCTGCAGTATTACACATTTCCAGCTACAAAAGTTCCAAAACCAAGGTCAGCACAGCATACAAGGCCACATCTTCAGTGCAATCATCCAAAACCAGTGCTAGCTCACACCTACTAAAAGATCTGGCTTGCTACACTTAGTATTTTCCTGTTCCCCCTTTATTTCCCTCATGGTAAGCACAGAGGACAGCTGAATGGCAGCACATTCCCAGAATAAGTGGATCCAGTGGATATGGTATGGGATCATTACCTGCAGGTTTGCCATTGAGGTTCCTCTTAATTTCTTTCGTCAGAAGCTTGGAAACCTCACTGGCTAACAGCTGAATGTTGGGGAATACGATTACTCCAGCAGACTGTTCCCAGGCCTGAAATCCAAGTGCAACTGTTAAGTCTTTCTGATACAGCATGTCTTTGGCAGATTGAGAAGTACTAATAATATAAATAAACAAACATAAAGCTAAAATTCCCCTGCAAAATTCCCTCCCCAGCCAGTGCAGTCCATTAAGCAATATTTGCCAGACAGGCAGGAACCTGACGCTACAGATACAGAAGTCAACCTGGAACTATCTTTTGAATCACATAATGCACCTACTAGAGAGCATTTACATTTTCTCCATTGAATACAATCAAAACAATGTAAAAGTTTGTCATAGCCCGTGTCACTAATTATTTGTATCAAAAAGCATGCTAGTCCCTTTCGAAATGCAACATAAACACCCTGTACCCTGAAGAGGTTGCAGCTACAGTTGTCCAAGAATTTTTCAGAAGTATATCCTTCTCCAAAAACTGGTCTCCCCAAAACTATAGTCATAAACAAAACCTGAGTTTTCAACTGAATAAAAATTAAAAATAAAAATTGTATTTTCTCTGTTCAGCAAGTCATTGCACAGTCTCAGCTACCTAGAGATTGAAATGGGATTGGAACTGCTTCTCTCAGGGAGCATTTGCAACAGATCTGTCAAAAAGAAACCATGGTAATACAGGAATACTGGTCCCAGGTAGCAGTATACTGGCCAAGATTCCAAGATTCACCTGAAACTGAACTATTTCTTTCAAGTCAATAAATTTATAAAAATCACAGAATGAACAAAGAAGCAAAATTCTTTGGGATTTTTTTTTTTTGTTTGGGGTTGTGGCTTTTTTGTGGGTTTTTTTTAATACATTCATAAAGTTTCTGCCTTTCAATTCTGCTCTATTTTGGGAGGAAAGTAAGGCTCATAAAATCAGCATTTCTTGTTGGACAGAAACAGTCTTTGTTGCAAACTAAGGAAATAAAAGAAAACATGGGGAAAGGAGCTGAAAAAACAGCAAATTCTAGCCAAAAAAGCACTGGATGTGATTTTGCAGCAATATGAGTTGCCTAACCCATAAACGTTTACCAGATCAGGATTTCTGAACATTTCCTGTGCTATAATAAGCACCCTTAAATAGGAAGGTATAGTCCTAAATGCATAGCTAGCCAAGGAAAACAGATTTATAGACAAGTTTATAAACAATTTATAAATAAGTTTATATACTACTTGTTCAAGAATGGACAAGCAATTCAATGCAAAACTGACAAGAGGAGCAACAGCAAGACTGGATGGTTCCCTGCTCTGAGTCTGACAAACAGATGCCCTCTCAAATGTTTCTTAGCCTTGACTTTGGGGGGAAAAAAAAATCAAAAGCAATAAAAAAATACTCCAGTAGACTGATACTATTGCACCCAACTGGCCTCTGAGAATCAGGTACCATCACTTTTATATAGAACATCCAATGCTACACACATCAATGGATTAGCAATAGTGCAGCATTCACCTCTAAATACCAGGCTGAGACACCTCTGTCCCCAGCAACCTTGAAAATTTTCTTTACAAACATGTCCTCCTTCTAAAAGCTCAGAAAAATCAAGCTGTAAGGCCAGATGATGAAAGGAAGGTAACAAAAATAATAAGACATCTGTTCTGAAATAATTTGGAGCAGACTCCCCATAATACTGTCTGCCAAATCAGTGCAACTCTTTGTGAAAGAAGATCCTCTACAAACATTATTTCCTTCCCTACCATTGCTTTCAATTACTTGTTCTGTCTTTGCTGATGACAGTTTGTGGACAAGCTAGTTCTTTCCCCACAAAGTGCCAGTCGTCTGTCAGCAATCAGGCAAGCACCTCCTTTTTGCTTCATTTTACTGCATTGACCTCTCTGGAACTGCACCCAACTCTTTCTTCTGGGCTACAAAAGAGTGAAATAAAATTGCACAATGTGCCTATCAATTAATTGTCAATCAATCAACAATATTAAAAAAAACAAGCTATTTTTTTCAGATTTTGACCATAAATGATTTTCAGAGACCCTCAGTTGCAGGAGCGAGGTCCACTCGATTCCTCCACTTCTGATGCAGAAGTGAGGGAAGATCTGCAAAGAACAGAGCAAGCTGGGCAAACACAATGACAAGAAACCCACAGACACTTAAGAATATACAATGTCTGTCATTAAGCTATACCCTTTTTCAGAAGAAAGCAGTGATAGATTCTTGTTCCTCTGCCTCAAAGAAGAACACCCTCTGAACACTTCAGAAAGGACTTGTTATACTCACTCTTCTGCTAACAGAAAGAGCAGGATAAATTTTAGAAGTTCGGACCATATGCAGCAGACAGCAGTAATCAAAGGTTCATAGCAACGGTACCGTTGTGCAAAAATTTAGCTAGTCCATCTCGCTACAGAGCAGACCACTAATGTTCTGATTCGATTTTACAGGTGATCTTCCTGTGGGTCAGACACCAACCTCTAGAATACGGTCTCCTTTAAGAACAGACCTAATCAGTTCCATATTCATCTTTGAGCCACTAAAAGATCTGTATCTGGAAGATCTGTGTCTGGAAGAATTTCAACCTGACTCCATTCCAGCATGTCTGCCTTCAGGGGAAACTCAAATAATATGGTATCAGTGTAATCTGATTTTCTTTCTTCCTCTTAAGCCTGCTTCTACATGTTTAAGATGCTGCCACAAGTTCCCTGTGTCTGCGGATGCCATCTGTCCTTCCTATTCCGTGCTTCATGGAGAGATGCTAGCTCAAAAGCCAGCCATGTAATAGTACATTCTCATAACTTTCTGAGGCACCAAGAGGGAAAATACAGAGGGCACATTAAAATGACTCCCAGCCTAGGCCTGAATCACAAGCAGATGGCTAACATTTTCCTCCTACACCTTTTCCTTCTACATCAAGGACTATCGGTGAGTAATGAGCCCCCACATCCCAGGTGGCTCCTGGTTAGTGCCCTCTCTCTCCAGCCAACCGAGTAAGAGCTAAGGCACTCTAAGACAAAAAGACAGAGATGCACTGGCATCTGCATGATCAAACAAGGAAAGGAAAAGCAAGAGATGAAAATCCTCCAAGGAAGGAGAGGACTTACGCAGAGTCCCCTGTTAAACAGGAGGAAGCAAGGTAGTGTCCGTAAGAACTTCGTAACACACAACTCAAACTGAGATGCGTTTCTCCAAGCCAGCCCAGGGGCTTAGCACAAAGCAGAAGGCTGGTACATGAAGGGAGTAAAAGTAATATGTGGAAGGACATGATGACTCAAAGCTAAAGGGCCAGATCCTCCACAATGTACTCCTAAATCAATGATGGAAGGCCAAAATGCTCTAGCCACACACCTGAACCTAAATACCTACAAAGTACTGCAAAGCTCCACTGATATGTCTAAGAAAAGTGAAGGGGAAGAATCTCTCTCTCAGGGCACAAAATCGAGTGTTAAGCTAATGAGAAATTCACATCTCCATTCTGAACATATTCTGTAGCCAAAATATCCTTTAGGAATTTAAAATCCCCTCTTTGTGAGCATTACTGCAATTCAGGAAATCACTTTCTGCAACTTTAAAGCATGTGAAGTTCAGCCCTACAGAAGGGAAACACATGATGGATATGCATATGCATGACATTGCCAGTCCCTTAGCAATACTCAGCTTGCCTCCTGGGGAATAGCTGTCCTTTGACCCACTGGTACTAAAGTTTCTTTCTCCTGTTTCATGATAAATAAGTGATTTCCTGCTTTCCTGTCCAATTTTTAATTCCTAAGACTTCTAGAGCTTATAGCTTTCATCACCTTTGTTCAGTAACAACGATTTCCTCAGTCCTTTGAAAGTTTCACTCCAAAAAATGACCTTCGCATGGAAGGCATTCTTGCTATTCATACTTAGTTAATGATCAGCAAATCTGAAGTTGTTCTATATAATCTCATCTCACCAAGACTTGCTTACTTCATGTTCACTATATGGTATTCAAAAACTAAAGCTGCAACAGAACTCAGAAACCTTGAGAATTAGGAATTTCAATTTCATTGTAAATGTGAGGCAGAAAAACCTCAGCAGAAGAATTTCACAAAAAGCCTGCAATACATTGCTTACAAGAGGGGGAGGGAGCACTTTGGAGAGACTATCTTCCACAACAAAGCTTATCTTAGTTGGGATGAATTTATACCCTCAAAGCATTAAGCATGTATGTTTTCCATGAAGCTTCAGGAGGAAGGAAGACAGGAGGTCTGACAACAGCTCTAGGAAAAGCAGATGGCTCTTGCTCCAAGTAAAAAGGTTGCATCTTGTTGCTGTGCTGTCTCAGAAAAAGAACAGTGCCATTTTCAGCAAGCCATTTAAAAAGCAGATCCATGGAATAAGAAAGTGCTCCTCTACAGAAAACTGACAAATTATCAGTCTTGATCTGACTTTGAAGAGCATTTTTTGAAGGCTGAGGAAGGAACGCTGCCTCTTTGCAAAGCCAGAATTTTTGTGAGCTGATAAAGTGGTGGTGAGCTCCCAAGAGAGAGAAGTCTGCCCCAGCACATGTAGTGCCATATACAGAGAGAGAGAGATTCGCTTCCAGTGACAGGCATGTATGCAGAGAACAACAGCTCTTCCGTCCAAATATAGCCTTTGGTTCAGGAGGGACACTCTTCTATGCAAACAAGTCCAGAAGTTGAGAGAAGTGGTGAAAAGTGAGAGTTTTGTTCAGTAATCATAAAATATCTGTAGGGCCATTTAGATTACATGAGAAGGCCCCTTCTGAGACTCCAGGCTATACACTCACTGCCTTTTCAGACCCCTCCATTCATTTTGTCTGCGCTGTCTTGGACCAGGGCAAGTTCGTACTCAAACACAGCAAACTCTTCACCATAGGCATCACCAGATCCTGCTCGCAACGCAGTTGTTTGCATCACGCTGACACCAATGGGTGACCTGCTTCAGTGCTGTTAACTGATGCCAGCATCTACAGTGATTTCAAAGTCCTGCTCTGCACCAAGACTTACATGCTCTATCCAGCTGAGTGAAATGTTTACGACTATCTGGAAGTTATTGCTCCTTTACTGTCATGGACACAAAAGATTTCATAGCCCTGAGCACAGTAATTTCCCTGCACACACAGTTCAAAATGTCCCTCTCACTAGAGAGTATCACTTTTTATGTCCCACAATGCTTCCATATAAACAGAGTGACCATGTCATTAACTTTTTTTTTCCTCACCTACCCACTAACTTCTTTTTAGAAAACTGGCTCAGCTAGGTAGGGAACAGATGGATCCAAGTTTGGTCACTCAAGAACACTGAAAACTCACAAGTACAGATGGCTGAAATATGTCATCATTAAGATATTGTTTCACCAAAAAGAAGCTTTTATTTTCTTTCTGAAAGACTTACATAGTGAGAGAGTGTAAAAACACAGATTCCATACCCATAAATACCCAAGCTAATTCAAGACAAAAACAATTCTTCTGTACTTCAACATGGCCACAGTACATTTAAAGATAGGCCAGGTTTTCTGCTCCTCTCAGTATTAAGCTCTGCCATTCTGTCACTGTACGGTCCACTCAAACAGTTCCCTGTATGTTTCACACACTCTAGCAAACAAAACCAACCCATAAGGCTCCCATTCACTATAGAGCTCTTCCAGTTTCACCTTTCAATATGGCCATCTCAGAAATTCTTGGCTGATGGAAGCTCTAGGGCATGGGGTAGTGCAGCTTGCTAACCAAAATGTTCTATTTCTCAGCTGTGCCCCTCACCCACAGTATGACCTTCCTCTCCTCATGCCACAGTTTCCCCATCTATAACACAACTCCTCTCTCAAGTACTAAAATTAGACATCAGCACTGTCACTAACCCAAAAATTCCATCTTAATACTGCATTTCCCCTAGCTGGCTGCATGCCACAACCACATTTTCCCAAACTGAAACTGTGCTCAGCCCCCCACTACGTAATAAAATAGATGAGGCAGACATGAAGTAACCTCTTCACAGGGTACTTACTTTGAAACATGCCTGTCTCATCAACATATCCCTTGACTCCAAGAACAGAATTTAGCCATTCATGAAAGTAAAGCAGTGCTTCCCCCATATACTTTTCTCATGCTAACGTAGCAGGTTAGTTAGATGAAAGGAGGACAAGAAACTGTTTCCCCGGGTTCCCAATGGAATAAAAGTAATTATCACCTACACAAATGGGTCATGCTCCAATCAACTCTTCTGGCAGTTAGGGTGACCACAGAATGGATAGAGCTACAGAAATTCAAATTTACATTCTTGGCATCTGCACCAAAGGCAACAAGGAGAACAAACCTTTAAGAAGAGGGGAAGAAAGTCCAGCAGCCTTCTCTGTTGCTCCTCTGGGATGAGAAATGGAGCCACCTGCTCATACTCTACAAACTGTCTGCCTAGAGTCTCCCACTGGAGGGTATGGCTCTGGGGTGGCTCGTCCTTGCTGTGTGCAGCCTGTCCTGGCACTACTGCTTTGTCTCCATCATCAGGGCTTTGCTCTTGCTGTCCCGCTTTGCCGGGTGAATCCTCCAGCTGCCACGTGAGTTCAGCTGCTTTGTCCATGCTGAAATGAGACCTGAAGTTAAAGATACTGTGTTATTTACAGTTAGCATCATCTCTTACCAGCCAACTGTCCCATGAAACTAGACACTGACAGTCTTAACTATTGGAGTTGGGGAGCTTAGAAGCATGGAAATGCTGGCAACTACTGACTCTTTTCCAATTCTGATGGCAAAGCACTCTGCTCCTGGACAAGAGCAATCACATGAACAAGCTCTCTCCCATGAGACACGTGTGCATGTGCTACACAACTCATCTGGGCTTTGGCAGGGCAAACTGGTAAACCATGCAGGAAATCTGGATTCCAGCCCCAGCTTTGCCATTGAGCCAGATCCTCTCCCTATACTTCAGTCACCCCAATTGTAAAACAAGTCATAACTATTACCATCATCAGATCTGCAACAGAAGAGCACTACCCAAGAGCCAGGTTACACATTTCATTGAGTATGGATGCTAAACTAAGCTGCACATCTCTGATGCATGCCCCACCTGGAGTGGGGTTGAAGCTCTAGCTGGAATAGGAACTGTGTGGAAAAGCCAAGGATTCCCCACATGGGTGTGCTGGCCCAAACAGGCAGCAACATTCAGTTCTATCCTACAGATGTACAGCTCTGTACAAGAGGTAGGTATTTTCACTGCAACATTACCTGTTTTGCTGATCCTGTAAACTGAAATGGATATGCCTCAATGAAGGAGCAAGGTGCTTCTAGCAGCCTCATTTCCATCAAACTGAACCTACAATGGGTCCATCTTGCACTATACGTAGAGGATTCCTTCTGATACCCTCATCTCAACCCCAAGTCCTCTCATCTACTTTCCAGCCCTGTTTTCATCCATAGTCTTCTGGGAGGTCACTGACACAGCCTTGAATCCACAGCAACTCTACTCCTTTGCCATAGCCTTCTGTGAGCTCACCCTGCTACCCAGAGCCTACGTAAATCACAATGCTTACGCTAACGGAAATCAGGCTTCTCCAGTTTCCATCAAAATCAGCCATATGCTTATTGGTGTCTAGGACATTGTCTGACTACTCAAAATATGACACACAAATTATCATAGTGTAGGCAGGCAGCTGGGGAGTTGTCACCAAGATGAACGTAGCTCATCGCTTTACTTACCAAGTATATTGTCTTTTAAGAGCCTAGAAGAATCTTTAACACATCATTACACCCTCTCAAAGACCACCGCCATTATACCTCCATTTCTAGGAAATAGGTTGCTTCTCTACAGTGTCTCTTTGATTGCCATTCTAGCTTGCCAATAAAAATGCCAAAAAGCAAATGTAACTAAAATACTGAGTCAGATCTCCTGCACTACCAATACGTACACCCCTTATACTAAATTTTAAAAAAGACTATTATGAGCCTGGTTTAGAAATTATGAGCCGACGCTAATCCTATATTTGGGATTCTCTTCCTTCACCATCCATCAGCTATGCAGCTTGCTTACTGCTTGCACCCTACCCTACTCCAAGACAGATGAACCAGTTTCACTTCCACACTCTTGCAGTAGCTCCATGCTGCAGAGATGAAGTGGGGGACATTGTCTTGTCACTGTGCACCACACCACCTGCAGCAAGCTGATGGTCCCAGCAGACACCTACACGTGGATGCAAATGCTGATCCTTCACACTACAGCAGAGGGTAACTTATTCTGCCACAGCCCATACTCTGCCCTTTGCTAGGAGATTGAGGGCTATGAAATTTTGATCAGTCTCCAGGGATGTCAATCTGGAACTTCCTACCTCAACAACATTATGTGTTTTGCTGCTGTTGTGTTCCTTAACTATCTGTGTTAAGACAACACAGCCCTGTGAGTAGAAAAAGTGTGATGACCATCTGTACAGACTAAACAGGAAGACTCTGTTCCTCATGACTGTGTGGGAGTTACATTTGTCATATATTATACTTAACCCTGGTATGGGATTTCGGCCCACTTGAGTCATCGTGAAGCTGTACAGTGTGTTGAGACAGCCTGGGTACTGTTCTAGGGGCTTGAGTGAGCATAATTCAGAGTTACTTTTTCAATGAGGCTGCTCTCACATCCCAAATGGCACTATTCTCTTCCTAAGGGAAATCTCTCACCTTGGAAGCTGCTAAGCCTAAATCAATGCTAAGTAACAAGTAATTCACTCCCAGTGCCTACATTCACCTTGGTCATTTGTATAGAGAAGCCCAAAATGCTTTACAGAGGCATTTTACAGATGGTGAAACTGAGGCACGGAGAGGTGAAATGAAGTTCTTACGCTGGCCTCACTGCTTGAACTGCACTGCACTGAATGGCACTGCAGATGTGTTTACCAATTTTCTCTCTTTCTATTCATAATTTATTTGGCAGGCCTTTCTTGCTGGTGGCACAGCTAAGGCAAGCAGGGCTGGTGACTCAAAAAATTCTCACTCTATGAATCTATGTAATGAAAGAATTCTTCCTCTCTCCACAGAAAATATTAAAACCAGGTATGCACAGACTTCATTAATGACGACCTAATTGTAACAGACTATGTACGACATTTGAGTGTACATGGAAATCTTTAATCTCCAGAAGTACATGAAAGCAAAATGAGGATTATGATTTGCCTCCTTATTTACTCCAACTGTCTAGACTACAAGAGGCATATTAGACTACATATCAGTCCTGTAGTATTAGTGCAAGTGGAGACAACAGACTACCTGCTTTTAACATTCCTTCTCCTAATAGCCTCTTCTTGAGTCTAAATTTTATTTGGAGTTCTAAATCCTTCGCTTTTCCTATTCCTCTTGGAGGATAATTATTCTTCTAGATCAATCACAATATCACAGGGTCCAGCATTCAAGTATCTTTGGTATTAAGGATAGCTTAGATATCTTATATGTCTTATATGTTAGCTTTCTTCTACATCCCACCATTTGTCCTGATCCTCAGTGTAAATTAACAGCTTATTTCAGTTTTGATAAGTTATAAATATCAAAATGATACAAAAAGTAAAGTCTAAATAATAAAGATTTTAAAAGACATGGAAGTGAAAATATATCAAATAAACCTGATGCTATCATTCAGAAAGTAGTGTCAGGTAACAGAGAGGAAGTGGAACTTATTCTTGTATTTTCCCTTTTGTTCTAAATGAAGCTTGTGTGAAATCACACTGCGATGTGGCTACGCCTTTTCAGACCGATAAGACAAAAAGAAAGGCCTGACCAAAGCTGGCAGGACAGGCAGAATGCTGATAGTAGAAGCTTACTGGCTGACCAAGCATGATTTTTTAAATGACATTTTAATTATATTTATCTGGGATTAACTCCCCCAGCAGTCCAAAAAATATCCCATACAGCTACAAAATTCCGATTTGCACCAAGATCAAGAAGTTTACTTATACATTTAAAATCATTTTTTATCAGAGAAGGGTCTCACGACAAGATGGTTGACCAAAACACAACCAAGTCTCATACCAAATTTCAGAGTTTGATCCACTTCTTATGGTAAGTATCTGCAAAAACTGTCAGATATTTGAGCGTACATGGAAATCTTCAAAAGTACGTGAAAGCAAAATGAGGATTACAATTTGCCTCCTTATTTACTCCAACTGTCCAAACAACAAGAGGCATAGTAGACTAAATATCGGATCCCTAGTACTAGGACTACCTGCTTTAAATATTCCTTCTCCTAATAGCCTTTTCTTGACTATTAAAACCCAGGATTCTGGTGACTATCAGAAACACACGGCTCACAGCACTCCAAAAATCCACTGTGTGATACCTCTTTATACCCTCTTCCTTTCCTTGGCAACCAAGATAAATCTGTTCATTAAACAGTCATGCCAGTCAATAATTTTAAATGCTAATAACAGGGATTCCGCTACCTCCCCAGGAAAGCTGTCGGATGCCATAACAGACCCAAGCAGTAGAAGGCATGGCTTGTTTCTTTTATGAACCATCTTATCTCACAAATTCTAGTTCTCTCCCTGTTCAGTCACAAACTCCCTCTGTGTGGCTCACACCATTCTGTGCTCACAGGAAATGACAGTACCTCAGAACGAACACTGTGCCAGATGCTGTCCATCTACCACTCTTACTTCTGTCCCTCCTAATCAGCTTGGTCCGTCCTCCCTGAGATCCCTCTGCCTTTCTTAAATTATCTACACCTATCAGTCCTATGTCTAGTGATCATACTTGACGTATTTCATGAGGCAAACCTAAAAACACCACCAAAAAGATTTACACTTTGATGTCACTCTATTTATCTTCTCCAATATGAGGGCTGCAATGAATTAAAACAAGTTGCAAAATTCAATACCCTACCCATCCTTGCCAGGTCCATTTAACTGTAAATTCTATGGGGAAGGTATTGTGTTGTCCCAAGTTCTGGCACAGCACTTTATACAACAGGAGCCTAACCTGGCTGGTGCCTTGAAATACAAATAGTTGACAAAATACAAATAACAGTGGGGTTTTAAAACACTTGTCAGCTTAGAGAAGGTAGAATACTGTTCAAAGAACAAGTCCCATTTCAGTAGGACAGAGCCCCTACTTTTTCAGCAATATAAATATCATTTCAGCTTGTTTCAAGAAGGTGTGACACTATTACTACCAAAGGAGTTGCATTCATTTACACTAGGACTTCAGTTGTCCAAGCATATTTTTATTTTTTGAGTACATCTAAGTTGAACAAGGCATTTCTGCAGTACAACCTCACAAATCATTAATTCAATTTCAAACGCTTAACTGCATCTCTCTATTTTTGTTTGAAGAGCACCTCCATGCAATCCAAAAGTAGCTGTAAAACCAACTTAGGCTCTCCCTCATGCACCCACTCTTCATCTTTTCTGTTTTAAAAAGTAGCTTCTAAATATCTAATTTGGAACAATTTCTTCTCTGGCTTGTGTATACCCCTACTGCAGCCAAGAGAGAAGCACAGATATTGGGTATACTTGCTGTTGAGATGTGATCCTCCTGGAAGTGAAGTAATGCCCCCACCTCAAGAGCAAACAGAATGCTTCTGGTCAGTCACAGATGATAGAGTTGTAACAA